ATATATATTTATGTAGTACAGTGATATGCATGTATATATTATTTTAGTGGCACTAGGAGTTTAATCCAGGGCTTTGCACTTAGCTATATCCCCAGCCCTCCTTGTGCTTGCGAGGCAGATGGCGGAACCACTGAGCTAAATCCCGGGCCCATAAAACTTTTGATTTTGAGATCGGGTCTTGTTAGGTTGCTACAGTGCAGGTTGTGTCTGGGCTTGATCTTGCCCTCCTGCCTCAGGCTTGGAGTGTGGAGATTCCATGTGTGCACGTGTGCTCCCAGTTCCGCGTGACAGTGGGCACACGCACAAGTATGTAGGGTGCCACGGCCAGATCAGAATGGCCAACACATCTCACCACGCAGACATTTGTTGTTGCTTCGTGCTGCAGACGTTCTCTGCTTACCACTGTGAAATACTCCATTGTTTTCAACCACACTTATCCTTGTAGATAAGTTTTTGTATCCACTCATGCTTTTAACATTTTGTATATTCAGTGGGGCAGTAGATGTAATTTGAGCATCCAGCCATTGTGAAAATCACATATGTGAGTTGAACTGGAGGACTCGTAATTTCCGAGGCCCCCTCGTCCCCGGCCCTGCCTCTTGGAGGTGCATCGATCTATGCTGCTCAGTGCTGCTTCTATTCAGAAAGTTGCCGCTGCGCAAGCACAGGATTTTTAATGGCAAACGTAGGCCTGTGTGTTCTTTTTTAAAGGCAGAATGTTCAGAAGAAGGCTATTAATAATACAGACGCGTGGGGCAGTATGCTTCAAGCAGGAGAGAAAACAGCTGTCTGTTGCTGTTCTAACTTTTATCATGGGGATTTTAGACGCTCAGTTCTCATAAGACGGAGGCTGTGGCTGTGCCCCGGGATGGCGTCCAGGCTGTGTTGCAGGGACACCCATCACAGCTCTCCTGGGCAGGCCTGACCCTGTGTGATCTTCAGAGAGCAGTGAGGCCTGTCACTGTGCCCTCAGGAGCAGTTCTGGGTGCCTTTCCCCAATGCTGCATCCTGTCATCCCTCTGGAGCATTTCCTGACACTGGGCGGCTGCATGACTTTTATTCTTGGAAGGCATTAGTCAGCGCTAGTCCTTTCTAGGGTTAAGCAGGTAAATTTGTATTACTGTCCTCTTGTGAATTTACAATGTTAGTTCATATTCCTAATTATGTTCCTTCCACTTGTAGAAAAAGTTAAAAATTTTGCAACATGGGAATTGAATTCAAGGCCTTTGCCCTGAGCTACACCCCTGGCCATTTTATTTTATTTTTTTCTAATTTTATTTTGAGACAAGGTTTCACTGGGTTGCCGAGTTGCCCACCTTGGGTTCAAACTTGTGATTCTCCTGTCTCAGCCTTCCAGTGTTTTGGAATTGCAGTGTACACTACCATACTTGGCTAAGGATATTAATTTCTTAAAAGAACATTTCTCTTTTAGATTTCTTTTTTTAAAAGGAGATGATGATTCTTACCTATGAAGAGGTAGAAATAGTGGTGCTGTTACTTGAGGTGTCAGGTGTTTAGCAAACACAGACCAGTTTTTTGGAGGTGCTTCTTGAACCAAACAGAGATCCTGCTCAGAGGGGTGTTTGCCTGTACCCCAGCCCTGTTTGTCCAAGTGAACCGGTCTGTTGACTTTGTCTTTCTTCTACCCAAGTAAGCATTCATTGTGATTTTCTTTTCAGTTTCCTTTAAACATATTCAATTTCTCAAGTTAGTTTTCCTTTTAAAAGACAGCTGACTGACAAATAATCTGATGGCCAGAAAAGATGACAGTACAGTCAAATTCGGGGCTGTGTACCAGAGTCACTGGAAGAGTCTTCAGCTTTCTCGGTATTTTTTTAGATCTTTAACTCTTTGCTTGGCCTGGCACGGAGCTCAGTGCTGGCTCTCTTTGTTCAGGACTCTGCGTAGCACACTCACGCCACTTCTGACCCAGTCCCTGGTGTGCGCGATGACTCCTGTCCTCATCACGTCCGGCTTCGGGTGGCCCTGCGGTCAGGGTGTAACCTGTGCCCTGTTTCAGCTCATTCCCTCTCAGGCTGACCGCGTGGCAGTGGGTGTGTGCCCGTGCAGTGGGATGGTGGACAGGGCAGTCTACCTCGAGGGCACTTAGGACTTTGCTCTGTGTCTGCCCAGAACTTCACCCTGTATTTCTTAGGGCCGTCACAGCTCGCCTGCTGAGTGGTTATTATCCCACGTAAGGTTCGAAGAGGTGGAAGTGACCAGTACAGGGCCGTGCGGGAAAATGTAGAGCCAGGAGTCTTTGTGACCTGCAGACTGCCACCTGGAAAGATGGACATCATGTTTGATCCCTTGGGAGAAGTCAGACCCTCTTGGATGTGATTTAAGCTATCATTTACTACATGGGGGAAAATTTCACCAAAAACATTCATTAAAGATGGACCTCAATAGCTGCTTTCCTAGAAGTTACTTTGTGGCATACCCTGGTCTGAGCACTTTACAGATGCTCACTTGGCCCTGCTCACAACCCTTTGGGAGGCCCCTGTGGGATAAGCCATTCACCAGGGGGGAAACTGAGGCACAGAACGCCAGTCACTTGCCAGGGTGTTGAGCTGGCCAGGGTAGAGCTCGGTTTTGAACCCATGCTGGCTGGCTCTGGAGCCCTTGCTCTTACCAGGAAGCCTTCCTTTTACCCAAGAATGCCGCGCACGTCCCTGGAACCCTTTGATATGTGGAGTAAGGTGAGTCTGTTTTGAATTATTGGCAATTTCCCTAGCATGGAGGGAAGTTAGATGAGGGGAATGTCTTTAAACACAAGCCAAATAGTACACATCCTGGTTTAGAGGATGTAGGAAAATGCCCTGCAGCTTACAGATGGAAAAAAACCTCCCACATTGCTTTTTTTCCAGACTTTTCTAGGAAATTCTCATCTTCCTCAAAAGCAGGTTTAAATTTTCATGAATTTTACCTATTAACAATCCAGACCTCCTCCACTCAGTTGAAATTGATAAAGATTTGGACACAGGACTTGCACTCAGAGCTGGGCGTGGTGACGGCATGCCTGTAGTCCTAGCATTCGGGAGGCTGAGGCAGAAAGATCATTTGTAAGTTTGAGGCCGGCGTGGGCTACAACGCAAAACTTAAAAACAACAAAAAAAGAGAAGTGAGCGAATCTCAACAAAGACTGGAGTCCTGTATATTTGTGCTTATTTCCAACTATTGCTTCCAACTCTACTTCCCCTTTTTTCTTTTTGGTACTGCAAATTGAACTCAGGATCTTGAGCTTGTGAGGCAGGCAGCTGAAGCACTCAACCAAATCTCCAACTCTTTCCTTTTTTCTTCAGTAAGCTTCTCTCTGTACTCATGAGTGGTTTACAGCCAGATTTTGCACTCCGAAATAAATATTAGTTTGTCCATGAAGTGGTTTTCAGAGTTTTTTCTGGCCAGGTCAAATGATCGTTGCTAGTCGCTTGAAGTCGGGATGATGGGCTGGAAACAGTTGCCTTCTGAGATGCTGGGTCAGCAGCCAGGCATTAGTGCAGTTTCACTGAGGGGGCAGCCAGGGTGAGGGCGGCTCAGGTCCGCGCTTCCCATTGGCGAGGCCCTGGGCTGGGAGCATAAGAACTATCTTAGCTGAGTCAGTCAGAGGTGCCTCTGGGTCCTGTATGCTGAGCAGTGGGAGAATTGCTTATTACTTATTACCTACCGGTGAAAATCCCTCAATGTAGGAATTGGCAGAGAAATGAGATTTGTTACTTTTTAATCTGTTGCTATCTCCATAATTGTAGGTTTAAGGCACGGCTGGAGAATAGTTTTCTTGCAAGTCACTCACCAGCCGGCCATCGTTAGGCTCAGAGCAGATTTTCAAAAGCTTTTTAAGTAAATGATCCAGGACTTAGGGCTTCATTTGAAGCAGTTGTTTTCTTTTTTTAAAGAGTATATAAGGTATCATGATGAGTATTTTTTTTACTAGTCTTGTCGACTAGTAAATTGACAAAGTTGTCTTTTCTTTTAATGCCTTTCCTCGCTCATCACAGTCTGTTAGACCCATTATCACCTTTCGTGCCATCGTTTCCAGTCATTGCTCTCCAGGATGTGCTCTTCTGACAACTGTACGGGTCATTTACAGAGAGAACAGACGATAGTGGCTGCCTGGGAACTTAACTGTGTCTCATTCAACTGGCAGATATTTTGAAGTACGGTTTCACGATCCTTTAAAAATACGTTTCCTGAGAGCAGTGCATGTGCAAGTTTGGATAATGTTGGCTCTACTGATGAAATGAGACAGGCGAAGCTAAACCCGGATTTCCTTTGACTGGAGGTTTCCCTTGTAATCTGTGAAACTAATTTGTTGTTTTGTGTGTATGTGTGTGTGTGTGTGTGTGTCTATGTATGTGTGTTTAATCTTAGTGTTTCTAATTGGCTTGTTTTGCAGTTTGATTACCATTCTAACAAGCCAAGCTTGGTGAGAGGGATATGGGGCCTCTCTATGCTTCCTTGCAACTCGTCTGTAAGCTGAAAATTATTTCAAAGTAAAAAGCACGTAAGTGAAGATCTTTTTTTGGGTGGCTCTGGATTCAAGTTCTTGCCTTTGTCACTTAGTGCCATTGGGAGATGAGAACAACTTTCTTTCTTGTTTTGTGGAGGTACTAGGGAGTGAAGCCAGGGCCTCTCATATGCTGGGCAAGCACTCGGTCACTGAGCTGCATGCCTCAGCCATTTTAAAATTTTGAGTCAGAGTCTTATGAAGTTGTCTAGGCTAGCCCTTAACTTGTGATTCTCCTGCCTCAGCCTTCTGAGTAGTTGTGATTACAAGCGTGCACCACCATACCTGGAACATACAGACAGCTTTCTAGTTTCTTTGTTTTAGCTCTCCCATCTGTACTAATAGAACTTGCCATGTAAGATGATGTGAAGTTTCAGTAAAGCTGCAAAGATTAATATTTATACAGAGAAGGTCTGGCCTCCTTTTTGGCGCTCAGCCATGTAGCCAAGGATATAAATAATGCTGAAGGAGTTTGGAGGAGGAGGAGGAGGGGATGGCAATGGCCTGGGGGGATGTGGAGCCCCTCCTCCTGGGTGAGGGGCTGGGCCTGGGCCCTGACACAGTGCTGTGGAGGAGCCAGGGGAGCTGCTGGGCGCCAAGGTGGGGAAGACCTACTTACCTGGCAGAGTGAAAAGCTGCCCACAGGAGTGGATGGAGGTTTTCTGGGAGTCAGGTGAGGTGGGCTGGGTCCCAGGTTGTCATGGGCTTGGGTCCTGGCTTCCTTAGATTTAGATGGTCTCTAGTCCAGGCTTGTTCAGCCTGGTGCCTGCAGGCCAAAAGCATCCTGGACAGCTAGTAAGTCAGCCCTGTGGGAGTGTGAACTTTCAACCCTATCACGTGAGTTTTAGGAACAGTTTTCAGTATCAAGACACTGCATGCACTTGTGCGACTTGGCAAAAAAGATGCAGGGGTTACCCATAATAGTGTTCAGTATCCCCACGTGTGTGCCTGTGAAGACAGGTGTTTGTTGTTATTAAGCAGACTTGTAGGTTTTCTTGTTTAATTATTACACTTGGGCTTGTTGTGTTATTTTGTAAAACTTAGTAAGTTAAAATAGTTTTTTTGTTTTGTTTTGTTTTTTTTTTTGGTACCGGGGATTGAACTCGGGTCCTTGTGCTTGCAAGGCAGGCAGGCCACTGAACTGCTGAGCTAAATCCCCACCCCAGCCCGTGTTAAAATAGTTTTTAGCAGCTGATATAAAAATTTGTCAGGGCTGGGGATTTAGCTCAGTGGTTCTGGTGCCTGCCCGAGTTCGATTCCCAGTACCAAAAACAAATGAAAATATTGGATCATAAAAATTTGTCAAGTAGTGTTTGGCTCATTATTATTCTAATTAAAGACCACATTGCTAATAGAAATGTTATAAAACAATTTAAAATGAAGGAGGTTTTATTACTTAGATGCATTGACTATAATTATGTGTTTTATATGCGGTCCAAGACAGTTCCTCTTCCCTTGGTGAGGCCCAAGCAAGCCCAGAGATCAGAACCTATGGCACGTGTGCCACACTGGGCTGTTTGTTATCAGCGAAAGCCCTAAAAGGTTCGCCATCACTGGTCTGGGCCCTTTATCTGCAGGGGTGGCAAGGGACCAGCACAAACAGTGCAGAAAATTGTTTTAGGCTTTGTGGAGTTCTTTGACTGTGTGTTGTTGAGAGGATGTGATGAGTGATTTTGACTCAGCCACTATGAAATGAGTGTGTGTTACCAAGCACTGTAACTCCTCTGTATCTTCAGGACATTGTGCTACATTTCTGACGTGGGATGTCTGTTCTGCCCCTGCCAGTGCTCTGGGTGCACATGCATTTGCTGACCCTTTACAGTAACTCTGTGGCCTGGGGCTGAGTCACTGTTTTTGGCATGCAGGCCTGCTTTGACTTCGGGACGCCATCTCTTGGGCTGTCTTCTGTCACAAAACCTGTTGAGTACGAATACAGCTGAGTGCATGGATATTTAGTGCTTAGGTCAGTGTATTTGTACCTGTGAATACATCTGTGTAATCTTTACCCAGATAATGTTTCCAATGCCACAGAAGGCTCTTGGGTCACCTTTTAGCCAAATGCCCCTCCTTGGGGTGACTGCCATTCTGTCTCTGCCTGGGAGCGTCTCTCTCTGCTGGCCCCTGCCCTGCTGCAGTGCTGCGGGGTGAGGGTGGGGCAGGCTTCTTGTGTGCTGGCTTCTGCTGGGGACACATTCCCAGAGCCACATGAATCATCCTGGAAGACCACGGACCTGGCTCCCAGTTCCCTGTGGTACCATGTTCTGTGTCTTGCTGACATTGTTGTGACAGTTATCAGGATCATTCATGAAAAGTCACTGTGAACCCCACTCCGCAGTAGTCCCGAGGTCAGAAACAGCTGTTAACACCTAATCCTTAAGTGCATTTAATGGCCAAAAGCTTTTTGCCTCCCTCTCTTGAGAAGTAGGGGAGTTGTGCTGATTTGGAGCCAAAGGAGAAGGGGAGTTTCTTCATCTGGAGAGCATCTTTATTTGACCTTGTCAGATCATAGCTGTCCAGGGAGTCAGAGATTTCAGTCCCAGGCTTTCCGCCTGCTGATGAAGAAGCGGTCACAGCTGTGTGACAACTGCTGAGAGGAGGAATGCTGGGGGTCACAGAGGACACGGACAGGGCTGAGAAGTGCACCCCTAGGAGTGGCGAGGTCTGAGGGGTAGAGAATAAAGCTGAGAGGAGTGTAATCCTCATTACGACAAGCAAATGTGTGCTGATAAAATCTAAAAGCATCAGCTTGGTCATTGGGCATGGTGCCACCCACGCCTGCAGCCTGTAATCCTGGCACTCGGAAGCCTGAGGCAGGAGGATCACCAGGCGTTCAAGGCCAGCCCGAACTACATAGCGACACCCTGCCTAAAAAACAAAAACAACCAAAGGGACCAGGGATCTGGCTCAGTGGTGCTGCCACCTGCCTTGCATGTGCAAAGATCTGAGTTCGATCCCTAGTTCCAAAAAACCCACAGAACTATTAAACAAAACCACTGTGTGTATGAGTAACTGATAGGAGTTGGACAGGCAGAGGAGGGGGAAAATGAGAGTTCTAGCCTGTAGAGGGGGAGCAGACAGAGGTAAAATCCTCATGCCAAGGCCAAAGGTGTTGGGTTTTTACAGTGAGGGGAACAGTGGGTTGGAAGGTAGTAAGGTCACTTCAGATTGGGGGACATGGAGCAGTGGCACAGGACTGCAAGATGCTGGGGTCCCTGATGGAAGGCAGGGGAGCAGGTGTGAGGAGGAGTCATGTTTGAAGGGTGGGGAGTGAGCACGACTTGGTGGCGCAGACTCGCACTTGAGAGGCCGGTCGGGCCTGTGCTTAGGTGTAAGACGGGAGGGAGATTTGTGGAGGGGTTGGGTTTCTGTACATCATCACTGAAAGAAAATACCCCCTCTTTAGTGGGAAGACAGTATTTGCTCCAGAACAGCCCTTTATTTTGGAGTATGTAGGAGTTTACAGATGAAAACCTACAGTTGTCTGATTTGTTTTTAAAGTGGACAAGGCAGTCTTTTGGTTTGCTTTAATCTTCTTTTGTTTATTATGGTGGAAGCAAAATCTCAGAAGCGGGTGGGTGTTCATAAAGAAGACCTGCGAACCCTGGGACCGAGTGGGAACTGGCGATAAGGAAAAGACCGGACAGACCTTCCTCATCCTCAGGAGTTGCTGACATGTCGCATACGGAAAGCCAAGTCAGCGCCCCTGGTGCAGCGGCTTGTAGCGTGACTTCTGAGGATTTTATAAAGGTTTTGACTGCCCTGAGCCTCTGTGGAAACCGCTCCTTGCATGTGCCCGAGATAAGCTTGAGGACCGGAGACTTCTAGAGGAGGCCAGGCAAGCCCCCGGGGGCTGCAGTCCTAACCCGCGGAGTCACTAAGAAACCCAGGCGGCAGCCTGGAGACTGGGGGAGGCTTTGCTGTCCAGTCAGCCCGATCCAGACCGCTCCCTCCCTACCCCACGCTCCTGTTATCTGACCCGAAGGATAATAGCGGTGTAGCCCAAGCCACACACACAGGGACAGTCCTCGTTCAGCCACTGGGTTCCTGAGACGTGGTCGTCCAGTGAATTGGCCGCTCTGTGAGGGATTTTGTATAGTGTGAGCATTAGTGTTCAGAGCAAAGACATGGCCAGAGGAAACTCACCGTGGCGACCTTGCTTCTGTTTGCATAACTCTCCCAGGCAGTACTGTGGGGTAACCAGGACAGAAAGCTGCAGCAAAAGTCACAGGGCTGTGTACAAATAAGACCTTGAGGTTCTCTCAACAAGATGTACAGGACTGTGCCAAAAAGCAAAAACCCCAGAAAACCAAAAAAAAAGGGCGGGTGGTAAGTCTAATGGTTATGAGACAGGTGGGTCGTGGGTCGTTAAATGAGGACCAGCTGCATGATAAAATGCGAGACCCATCTCGTGGTCTTGAAAGGTGTATCATGGTCTCAGCTACTCAGAGTCCCTCCCATTCAGCTGTACCCCGGGGCTGTTCCTGCCTCCAAACAGCCTTCGGTGGGCTTTAAGTTGTACATGAAGTATGCCTGTGCGAGCCCAGGCCACCGAGCACTGAGATCACTCAGACCGTGACACATGGAGAGACACGGTCATGTCGGGCTGCATGGTAACGAGGAAGCAGCTCCTGTAACTGTTACTAGTATTAATTTTTACATGGCCAAGTCAGAATTTCAAAGTTTGGTTTATTCATCTGGTAGTTCTCCAGCACCACTTGTATCGCTGCCAGCATTTTTATGGATGCCTGTGAAGACGGATCCTCAGCTAGACTGTTGAGCTTCCCCGCGTCACCGTGCATGCTCTCTCCCCACCCAGCTCAGCCTTCTAGAGGCTCCTGTGGCTTCTCCCTGACCCTGCGTGTTCCGTGGATCTGAAGTCTTCAGAGAGTAGGAAATCAGTGACCTGCCCAGGGATGGGACAGCATGGGTTTGAGGTGACAGTGAGGCCCCTTCAGCTCTGAGGAGTTGGCAACATGTTTTATGATGGAATGAAATAACTGAAAATTTCTCACCTAGTAGATGATGAGGCTTGAATAGACGCTTAATTACAGAACAGCCTGATTCTACTGCAGTTGATTTAAGGTTAGACGAAGGTGGTGGGGGCGAGATACTTTGACTGTTGTTTGCGGGATCCTTGAAAAGAGCAAGATACTATATGTGCTGCTGCAAGCCAGAGCCGAACAAGATACAGTTTGGATTGACTGAGAAACAAAATTGCTTTTGAGTAATGTTTCTGACCCTTGTCTGTCTGTGGCCGCAGCTGTGTCAGCGCCTGATGCCGCAGTCCTGCTGCGTGTTGCTGTTTTGAGTGTGGTTTGCTGGACCACTCCCTGCTCAGTTCCGTCAGGCTGGGTTTCCTTTCCTGTACTTGAAAGCAGTTAGCTCCGGCACAGGGGAACTTTGTCCTTCTCAGGTGTTTACTGAGTTTCTGATCCTTGTCAGGCTGTGGCCTAGCAGCCAGGTACAGAAAGATGATCAAGTATCCAGTTCTGTCCCTCCCTCGCTCCCACTTCCTGTGCGGGGTTCAGACCCAGGCCTCCTGCATTCGAGGTAATCAGTCTGCTTCTGAGCCGCGCCCCAGGCTTCGCATTCCTCGAGTTAGAAGATAGCTTTCACATTCGCCTTCAGAGTCTTAATAGCCTTACCACCCCTGGAACATGGGGAAAGATTGTT